CTCCCCACTCTGTGGGAAATGGGGAGTGACACTGGATAAAATCCAATGGAAACTTCTGTGTCCCCGGTTGTAGGAACTTCCGCGGTAACGCGACCTCTGTAAGGTGGAGAAGTATCACTTTCAAGTGCTCGTGCTGAAGGAGCAGTCTGCACAGCCTGTGCTGCTGAGTTTGCAGGGGACGGCTGCTCTACGCCAGGTGACTCTGAATTGTCCTCTTCGTCGGAAGCACCTGGTAGCAGCCAGTCCCCGGCTGGCGAGGATCCACCATGCCGAGCTCAGACTGGCAAGTCACCTTGGGGTGCAGCAATGGCCTCCCCGCCGCCTCGGTTTCTCCGTTTTTATCTTTTTAGAGACAGGGTCTTGTTAAGTCCCTAAGTTGCTCAGGTGGGGCCCCAACTCACAATCCTCCTGCCTCAGCCTCCCCGAGTTCTGGGATGGCAGGGCACTCTTCTTTGGTGGGGAGTGGGGGTACCGGGGATCGAACTGGAGGCCTTGCGCTTGTGAGGCAGGCAAGGGAACCACTGAGCTAAATGCCTGTCCTACTCTTCTGATAGTTATTTCTCGCAAGCCGGAGTCACAGAGATGGTGAACAGTGCAGGTGGGGAAATGATTTTCTCCGCCATCTCCATAACCCCTGTGAAAAATGATCCCCAGGTGGGCTTGAGCCCCAACAGAGGGTTTGAATTTCATTCTTACTCAGGCACAGAGCTAAGACGGGCTCTGGTGAAACCAGATTCAAATACAAGGAACTGATTTGAGAAATCATTTCAGAAAGCCCCAGTAGGAAGGCAAGGGCATCTGAGGACATCCTTGGACAAACTCTGCAGAGAGCACCTCGAATGTAACCCTAGAGAGGGTGACGCGGCTGCAGCCTTTACCCGGCCACTCTTCATCTCACTTGCTGAGGATTATTTCTACTCCCACGTGAGAAAACCCCCAGGTGCAAGGCTGTGGTGTTTAACTGCCTGACACTGTGGTCGTGTGCCAGAGAGGCAAGTTCTATAGGGTACAGTGCTCCTCTCCTACACAGCCCCTAGCCAGCTTCAGATGCTGTGAGAATTCATCTGCTCCCACGGACTTCTCCTGACATAGCAGGTGTCCAGTAAACAAGGAGAGGACAGATGAACTTGAAACTGGCCTGTCATCTCAGCACTTGGGAGGCTGGCAAGAGGAACACCATGGGTTCAAGGCCAGCCTGGGCTACATAGGGAGATCCTGCCTCAGAAATTAATAAAAAAAAACAAAAAACGAAGCCAGGGATGTAGCTCAGTGGTGCCTCACCTGCCTCGCAAGCACAAGGTCCTGAGTTTGATCCCTGAGGGAGACTGTCCCTGGCATGCATGAGGCCCTGGGTTTAATCCCCCCACAGTAAAATAGATGACAGATAAAAATATAAAAGTGTTTCATCTCTAAGGACTTAGCCAAAGGAGAAGTGAGTGAACTTTGGTCAATTGTACCCACAGAAATCATACTTTTGCAAACCTGGTAGCCTCTGCCAACTAACTATGCAGCAGATTTCAAGAAATGCACGAAAAGGGCTGAGAGTGTAGGTCAGTGGTACAGCACTTGCCAGATGCACAAAGTCCTGGCCTCCATCCCCAGCCATGCAGAATGAGGGAGAGCCAGAGGGACCAGCATATCCCAGAACCACTGCCATGGTGATGAGTTGGAGCAGCGGTTCCCCCTTGGGGTGATTCTACCTAACAGTGGGTAACTGTCAGTGTTTGGCAAGATTTTTAGTGGTCACGGCTGAGGAGTTGGTTCTGCTGTTATCTGGCACAGGCCAGATATGCCGTCGAACATCCCACAAGGCGCAAGTCTCCGCACCACAAACCAGTCTGGCCCAAATGTCAATAGCCCTTAAGTGGGGAAACCATGAGTAGAGGCCAGAGAGAGAGAGAGAGAAAGAGACAGAGTACATGGGGGAGAGGAGTAGAGGAAAGGAAGGGGAAGAGAGGAGAGGGGAGGAGAGGACAAAGGAAGGGAAGGGGAGGGGAGAAGGGAAGGTGTTCCGGCTTGTGTCTACACGGCCCCCAGAGCCTCATAGGTGGGGCTTTCTCAGAGCTGGGCCGAATCTAGTGTGACTGACTCATGGTGCAATACTGAGATTAAGAGTGCTGGACGATTACTAAATCAGTCTACTGATTGCTTTGGCTCCCACCCTAACCTCGGTAGCCTAGAGAGACTGTAAAATGGGCAGAAAGGAGCTACTAAGGCCCCTTGCTTGCCGTGCTGCCTTCTGCCTGCTGGGAACTGGTTGTTTTTGTTTGTTTGTTTGTTTGTTTGTTTAATAAATTACATGTTATCCTCATCCCCCTCCTCAACCGTTTTTCCTTCTGCGAGGCCCGTCTGCCATGCCACCCTGCTTTACAGGAAGGAGGCCAACCATGAATTAAAATCTCTACAAAGTGTTAGCTAAATTAACCTTTCCTTTTTTAACTTTGGGCATTGGGTATTTTGTCTCAGCAACAACAACTAAAACACAGTAAGACTGACGTGGAGGGGAAGGGCAGGGAGGGAAGGAAAGAAAGGAAAACAGGAAGGCAAACTGTGGAGACTGGGTACTTGTTAGTTTTCGTTTTGCAGCGCTGGAGATGGGACCCAGGGCCTGTCACATGCTAGGGCAAGTGCTCTACTCACTGAGCTGCACCCCAGCCTAACTACCACGATGTCTTTTCTTTCCTTTTTTTTTTTTAAGAGTAGGAAGAATTTCTTGAGAGAAAGAAAGCTTCTGTCTGAGAGACAGAAAGGGGACTGGAGAGCAGGTTGTCCAGCTACTGCTATATCCTAGTCCTGTGACCTTAAAAGCTCCACCAACTGAAAATTCCCTGAGTATCTCCAGTAGGACGGTTTTCCAATAATGGGATCTGATTGGCTCATCTTAAACCAGATGAGCACACCGGTCCAAACAGTGGAGTCATTTTCCAAAAAAGTTAGTCAGGCAAGCACAGCCACCCCCACTCCCCACCTTGACACAGACAGGTCACACCAAGTGTTAATTATGCCTTTATTAGGTGATAAGGAAATGGGACTGTACAACACAGGGCCTGGGAATTCAGCTACACAGGGGTTGTGACCAGAAGCCTTATTACAAAAATAGTCTAAAAATACTTCTAATCTGCTACGAGGTTGGGCCACAGAAGAACCAGGGGAGAAGGTGCCATCCATGCCGGAGCTGCTCTGCCCAGTGTTCCCGACTGGGAGACAGCGTGGGATGCACCCACCTCTCCTGACCCCATTTCCCAACAGCTGCCCCCCAATTCCCAAAGGGACATAGCCCGGGCTCTGGAAGGGTGGGAGGCTGGAGAAAGGACCGCTCCCCTACAAGGCTACGGGACTGGAATGCTGTGAAGTGACAGGGTAGGGAGGAGGCGCCCAAGTCTCCCCTGACCCCTGGCCCCAAAGGGTGCGCCCAAGGGTGCCTGCTTGGTACATACCAGGGCCGTGTACTCGGTACACGGGAGCCTAGTCATGCCTGCATACTCAGTACACAGAATCCAGCTCGGCCACTGGGGCCCACAGACTCGGCCCCACAGGGGCCCTGAGGGGTATACGGGGTGGGGGGGAGCGTCTCTCTATATATATATTTTGTAAAAAATAATAATAATAATAAGTTTGCTTAAATGAATTTGTTTCTATACAAAATGTAAAAAAAAAAAAAAAAAAGGAAAAAAGAATAATAGCCCC